CTAAACTCCTGGCGAAGGAAACATTTTAAAATTCGGCTAGATTCCTTCTTGTATTTATCTGGATTCACTGCAAAGATAAACACGACCGTTTGCCCGTCCAGATTGTTCTCAACGGACTTAGAGAGGCAGCTTAGTACGAGTTAGATCTTGTAAATGCCATGTCAGTTTTGAACTGTTTGTGTTCGAGCATATTTTTGGAAAATAGTTTTTAGAGTTTACTTTCCCTTGTTATCAACGGACTGCTTATAGTGGAGTAGTATACCAATGATGCTTGGTTCTGTTTTTCTCGACGTCGCAGTGATTCGGCACGATCGAACAATTTTGCGCGATAATGTATGTTTCCCTAAGATCAAAACAAAGACTTGATGTCTCTTGTTCTATCAGCATCTAAATTATAAAATCACTAGCGACAGACAAGTCTAATTGTTAATGATTTAAAACAGTCTTGGTCTTTATCTTCGTTCTAGCGTCTTTTGTAGCTCGTTTGCAAAATACAACTTCGATTTATTTTGTTGAATAAGACAATATGTCGTTGTTGAATTTTTGTTTGCGCTCTATTTTATGAATGGCACGCGTTTTTCCTTTAAAACTACAAGTAAAATTGTCGTCACAATTTTATTCTTGATCTAGCATAACCAGAGAAGAAACGTTCCGTAAATTCTATCGAAATATCCCTTATCTAAACCCATTTCGCTTGTTAACCTCTCTAAATTCGGAGCCTTGGACGTGACAGAGAACATAGAGAAAGTCACGCGTTAAAAACAATAGAATTTTGACAGTTGATAGTAATTTGCATAACCTTAGAGCGCACATGGAGAAACTCACGCGTTAAAAACAATAGAATTTTGACAGTTGAAAGTAATTTGCATAACCTCAGAGCGCATGCTCTCCAGCTGACATAGCCCCTTTAATTCACCGGCGAAAATTGTCTGATTGGTCGACGCGCGACCACGTGACATTGCAAAATTCAAAATGGCGGCAATACCTCCATCGTTTGTTTATTGTGGAAAGAAGATTAATTGCGGCTTAATATGAGTTGCAAATGCATATACGGAATTTTTTAGCATAGCCTAGACTTTTTATTATCCTCTTTCACCTATTCCTATGGGATTCGTTCCCTGCGATGCTCGCGTTTTGGCCGTTTTACCAGATTAAACTTTGGATTAAGCGATCACTCTTCACGATCACGAAGGACACAATATTTCTGAAAAAAGCCGGGTCACTAGAAAGAACGGTCTTCGTCCACAGCTCAGTGCAGCGGAGAAATAAGACACTATGGGTCCTTTGAAATTGCTCAGAGACTTGGAAGTTATTTTATTATTTTTTACCGAAATTATGTTTTCTCCAGCAAGACTTAAGTTTCTAATCGAGCTAAACGAACTATAGTGTCTGCATTAATGTTCCTTTCATTGTGAACTGGTGCAATTTTAACTTAATTTTAATTTTAATTTTAACCTTCTAATGGTTACTGTGCTTTATCTGAATAAGATAATGAAATTTTTAAAATTAGGGGAATATTATACATAAAAGAAGAGAACTTTGATTGCAAATATGTTAGTTGGAAAAAATACTAATTATATCCTTTCAGTATATAGGTTAGAAAAGTGATGCGTAGTCAAAAGTGCTAAAAAGGAGTAAAAACCCAGATCTTTCCATTAATATGTTTTATTGACACTGTCAGGGACATATGCTTTGGTTGAGTACACATTTGTTCGTCAGAAATCTTGTTTGTGAGGCTGCACTTTGTTTGATTCAGGATCAATCAATCTTTTCTGAAAAGAAATAAACAATAAAGTACGTTAACATGTTAGATACTTCAACACTGCCTTAGCCAACAACTAAGAAGAAACTGAACTTCATATCAAAAAAACAAAGTGAAAACTACTTCACTGTGAAACAACAACCCCTTCAAATATATATCACATTAAATTCATGCAAAATGTAGACCTGATGATAAGTTTATAGGAATAGAAACAAACGATAATTACAATGAAACTATAAAGTTTGAATGAGATCTGTATTTGAGTGTTCTCTCATAATTCTGACAGAAGATCAAAATTGGAAACTGTATATCCTACACAACTGCATTCATCAACATGATCAAACTAAAATTTCATTAAGACTCAAAGTTTACTCCAAACTTTAAACTCCTGTAAGTTTAATTTGTGATGATTACTTTTTTTCTTGGAAAGAACTTTTGAATACTTAATAGAGTCTTAATAGCATGTTACCTCTATCATTCACTCATAACTTTGCTCCAGAAAAATTATAAAGCCAAAAACGATAGACAGAAAAACAAAAGCATTCACAGGAAAATCATCTCCTTCCCGGATCCAGTTTTCAAGCAAACAAGCATCCCCCACAATGCAAAAATTTAGTACTAAAAAATTGTACACGGGGAAAAAATGTTCGTAAGTGCGGTTCCTAACTTCCTAAGTTACAAGTAACTCGTTGTGTGGATAATCCCAAGCCAAATTAATGAGCAAAATAATCCAAACTT